TTTAACTGCTTGTCCTTGCGTCGGTCAAGGTTCCCAGCGTAAATTGACCTTTTGATATACATGACCACCAACGAATGTTAACCTACTCAGCTACTTTTTTATACGAAACACAGATCACTTTCAGATGTCAATTTTAAAAATGTTCGCTTAGGAACTGTCCTCATATCACTTAAAAATGATATATCAAAAGCCATAATTGATATCAAAATATTTCAAAATATTTTTATTGCAAATATTATATACATAGGAATTATATAAATATTTTCTTGAAGAGTAAATTGAATCGGGCCATTGTTGTTCCTAACTGAATTTAGTTGCAAATTGCTTAGGGAAATGTGAAAATCCTTGTGAATGTGTTAAGTATAATAAAATAAATTAATATAATCCAAAATGATGTACATAATAAGTTGGAAAGCTAATGAATATTGATTTTTTCCATTTTCTTTCTTTCATAATTTTTTATTTAAGGAAAATAAACATTGCAACTTGACGATAAGCTAAGCCAGACTCCAAAGATATGATGTAAAAAAAAAAAAAAAAGGAAGCACGAAATACTTTGCAGCATATGGTGCCAATATGTTCTGATAATCTTTATATGATGTGTCTTTTTCCTGCATCTGCCTTCGCTACTCCTACTTTCTAATTTTATTTTTCTGTATATTTGTTTTCAGCATTTGTTGTATTTGTTGCAAGTCAAACAGTCACCACAGACTTTAAAGTACAATAGGGGTAAATAAAGAGACCTTGACATAACTGCAGACGCATAAAAATATATTGCCAGACGCTCCTTTAGGACGTAACAAATACGAAACATGCATATATATATATATATATAGGCGAACAAAGAGAAAAAGCAAGGCACGCACTAATAAATGATATGTAAATTCATGACAAAAATCTATAGCAGCCACACTTGGGAAAACAAAAAAGATGACAACAGCAACAGCAACAGCAACAGCAATAAAATAGAAAGTGGAACGGACGTTATGTATAAAATTGTCAAAAGTTATGATGACGTAAAAGCACTAACGATGTCTGCCGTGAAAAGAACAAAAAAATATACACACCGTTAAATTGTCCACAAAATATGTTTCCTCCTTTCTTAATTGAACCTTCTTGTTGCCGATAACCATCTCTATTTTTGGAACTTGTCAAACCCTAAAAACAAATTGTCGCTACAGTGACTATACTACTACTGGCAACATTGCTTTAGTGAACTTTTCACTTTTTAATTTCACGAACCTTATTAAAATAAAGTAAATAAAAATTTATTATTATTTAAACGATCGGTCGATTTACGTACACATAGAAAAGTCAAAAAAGCCATCAATTTTCACATCAAATTTGTTTTTTTTTTTTTTTGTTACTTATATGTACGTATTTTATTTTTAATTTAATATTTTTTTTTTTTTTTTTTTTTTTTATTCATAATTCTCAACTTTGAACAAAAATGTAAATGCAATCCAAGGCAAGCAACGTGAGAGAGAAAGAGAGAGAGGGAGTTGAGCATTTATAAATATATTTTGTTGAAAAAAAAAAGAAAATAAAAATACATATATATATGCAGCTACAAACTAATGCATACATATGCACTCGAAATACACTCGTATACATGTACGTACGGATATGTGTAGAGAATAAGAATATTATATTATTATTTTATACTTTAGCTTCTCTTCTCGTATTAAGTTAAACATGAAAATTCTTTTGCACGCATACGAAGTTAATTCATGTTGTTTTAATACACAATTTTCTTTTTTTTTTCCTTTTTTTGTATTTTTCATCAGTTTCACATGCACACATAATAAAAAAATATTCCTTATGTGTTCTTTTCGTGCACATACATAGCACAGCATGGAGAAATAATCATAATATAATAATAATAATAATAATAACCTCACTCAGGTGCACTTTAAGTTATGAATACGTCTTGACTTACGCGCCGCGACAGCCAGTGTGTTTAAGAAAAATTTCAATAAAAATAACGAAAAAAAAATTATTATTATTTTTTTTTTTTTTTATAAAATGCAAGTTATCTGTGCATGTGATTGTGCATCACAGACAACCGATAATAACCTCGAAAGTTCGCGTTGCCCGCGTGTACTATATCAGCGCATTTTCAATTACAAATTATATACACAAATCAATTCATGCATTCACAACTCAACTCAGCTCAGCTCAGCTCAGTTCGGTTCGACTAAATTCAAAGTGTACGTACATGCTTCTACTATCTACATTTGTATGTTTATGTAAATATTGTATTTTTATTTCTCTTTGTATGGGTGAGCATGTTTTACAATTCAACTGTTACGGTTCGCATTAATAACGTAAGACATGGCGTTCCTACGGTTGAGAAACCTCCACCGACGACGGTGCCCAAACAAATACTAAATCAATGATTGCCAGTCATTGCCAGCGTCGTGAACTTACTACTCACAAATATGTCTATATATATATGAATGTATGAATGCATGTATTTATGTATGTATATATGCGTCTGTGATGTACGTATTTGTAAAAGTGTTTAGCATGTTTACTTGTCTGTAGATACTTTTTATAATAAGTTGCTTCGTTTCGTTTTCACTAAATTTTTACACTCCTCTCTCTCTCTCTCTCTTTCTGTCACTCTCTGCCTCTCCTTTTGTCTTTCTCTCTTATGTACATCTCTTAGCATATTCTTTTTCTAACATAGGCTTGCCATGCGACCTTTTTTAAATAAATTGATTTTTCTCAAATATAAATACAAAAAAAATGTTTTGTCTGTTGGCCTATAGCTTAGTACATTAGTTCAGTATAATACCCGATATTTTCAAGCTGTCATAAGTGCTTTTATGTTTTGAAAAATTGATAGACGTTTCATTCAGTTCTGAGATAAAGATATGCACTGTTAAGAGTGTACAAGATAAATAAATGTAATCCGAAATCGATTTTTCGATTCGATGAACGAATTTAAAAATTTCTTATTTGGCAGTTTTCGTAATTGGTTTCATAAGTGATCACATTTGGCTATACACTCAAAAGTAAATTGATTGATTGACTTTGTATGCACCAAAACACTTTATTATATTAATATACTTTAATTTAAAAAAATAAATGCACTGTTTATTTTTTACTGTAGCTTGTGAATTTTTATATATATACTATGGCAAGCATTTTTTTCATACACAATTTCATATTCTACAAAAAAAAAATTTTTTTTTTAATCTCTCATTGCAATTATTACTCTTCCGCTCTCTAATTCTTTCTCCATCGACTTGTTTATGGCAAAGTGAAAAAAAAAAA